ACCCCCCCCCCCGAGTGCTGCCCCCCCGCCGAAACACCCCCCAAGCACCGAGCCCTGAGCCGCCCCACCCCGCCGAGCGCCGTGCCGCCGGAGCCCGGCCCCGCCCCCTGCCGAACCCCCCCCCCCCCAAGCGCGCCCCCCCCGCCGAGCCGCCGGAGCGCCCCCTCCTCCCCGCAGAATGCCACGCCGCGCTCCCCCAGCCGCCCCTTACCTGGTGCTGCCCCAAGCATGTGCTTGGTTGCCTGGTGCCTGGAGCCGGCCCTGGTGGGAGGGGGTTCAGGGCTGGAGCAGGGGTTAGGGCGCTGGAGGGGGTGAGGGCTCTGGTGAGCACTTACCTCAGGGGGCACACTGGAAGCGGCGACATGTCCCTTGGTTCCTAGGCGGAGGTATGGCCAGGCAGCTCTGCGCGCTGCCTCTGCCCACAGGCGCCGCCCCCGCAATTCCCATTGGCCACAGTTCCTGGGGTGGCCATGGGGTGATGGCAGCATGCACAGCCCCCCTGGCCACACCTCTGCCTACGAGCCAAGGGACATGTCGCCGCTTACAGGGAGCTGCACAGAGCCAGGTAGGGAGCCTGCCTCCCCACCAAACCCCACCCCCAGCTGCAGCGGGGGTTCCGGGCCATGCACCGCAGCCTCTCCACCCCAGCAGCTGCGGCGGTCCCGGGCTACCCCCTGACTCCCGCTCTTTCCCAGACCCGCAGTGCCCATGGGCTGTTCCCAGGCCACCTCCTGCCCCAGAGCACCCGTACTGTCCCCCGGACCACCCCCCGGCCCCAGAGCACCCGTGGCATCCCCCGGGCAGCCCCCTGCCCCAGAGCACCCAAGGTTTAGTCAGGTATATAGAACAAATCATGGACAGGTCATGGTCTGTGAATTTTTGTTTACTGCCCATGACCTGTCCATGACTTTTACTAAAAATACCCGTGCCTAAAACGTAGCCTTAACTATTACTGAAAAACTGCTTACTTTCTCATTTTGGCTGTATGAAATTCTAGTTTGTACTGACTTTGCTAGTGCTTTTGGTGTAGCTTGTTGTAAAATTTGCCAAATATTTAGATGAGTTGATGTACCCCCTGGAAGACCTCTGTGTACCCCCAGGGGTACAAGTACCCATGGTTGAGAACCATTGCTCTAAAGAGTCCTGGAACGAGCTCTGTATCCAGTAGGGTTACCATACGTCCGGATTTTCCCGGACATGTCCGGCTTTTTGGGCTC